AAAGCCATTTTACACTGTCAGAGTGATAAAAAGAGGCCTTATTGTAAACAAGAATAAGGCCTCAAATTTCAGGCTCCATCAATAAAGGTCAAGTAACCAAGACTATGAGAGAAATGTGCTTGATAAAACAACTTACATATTTGCTTATTCCCTTAGAAGGAAATAGAGGATTTTAGGGTGATGAAATCCCTTCAAAAGTCCTTTAAATTTAAAAGAAAAGAAAAAAAGCTTGCTTACTATCTGCCAGCAAAACGTTTACAGAACATCAGCAAACATTTTTATAGGCTTATTGCAACTTCTACTCATGCTCAGACTGGACAGTGAGGTTGAAAATACCACATGGTATTTGCAAAACAACAATCTGAATGAAAATAAAAGGTATCCTATTTTACCTGGTACAAAAATAAAACCACGACTCACTGCTTCCGCCAACTGAAAGACAAATGAATATAAGAAAGCTAAGGGCTTGTCTACACATAAAAGTTGTACCACTTTAACTACACCAGTATAGCTAAAGCAGTATAACCCTCTGTAGCGTGGGGAGATAGATACAGATATATAAAAGTGATTAAACTGGTATAGCTATTCCCATACAAGAAGGGGAATAAGCTAAATCATTATACGGCACCTTTGTACCAGAATAACTGTGCCCACACTCCAACTATTTCAACATAAAAATCACACCCCCTAACCAAACAGTTACACCGGTGGAACTTTCAAGTGTAGTCCAGGCCTTCAACCCAGTCTGCTCCGCTGCTCAAGTTACTTTAGAAGTAACACAGCGAGGTGAAAAATCATATTGACTTTACCTGTGTTATTAGTATCACCACGGATTATTAAATCAATGGAACTAGGTGAGGTCTAGTTTACTTCTCAGAGTATGCTGATTGCGGACAATGACACACTGGTCACTTTCACGTCTAGTCAGTTTCATTTGTTTGGCTCTCAAGCTGTTGCAGGAGCTGCAATGTTTGGCTTGTAAGGCCTTCCCTCCAGGGACAGGAGTTTTACAAGTTCAAGGAAACATTTGCATTGGTTTTAGGTTCTATACTGTGTTGATTTTATTACTGAGGCCATCAGCTCCTCGGGGGAAGAGACTGTACTTTCCTCTATGTCTTGTTCATAACCACGTTCATTTGGAATCGAAATCTAACCGACAATGTTGCTTTAACCCCATCGTTTGCAAGTGATGGAAACAGGGCTATGGCAGTGGATTAATCGCTAAAGGAGGTGTGAGCGGGAGAGGAGTGCCTGGCATGACTAGGAATGTTTTGATTAAATATACTGGGCAAACTCCTTGCCCCACTGAAATCAATGGGAGTTTTGCCTTTGACTTCAGTGGGGCCAGGATTTCACTTCTTATGCTTCCAGAATTTAAACCTAAGGCCTTGGTCAACACAATGATCTCATTAGAAGACTTACTTCCACCCTCAGGCACTCCCTTCCCATCTTTTAAACACCACCCTCCCCACACAAAACAAAAGATAAAAAAAAACTGCCAAATTCGCCAGTCCCTGTCTAAGACCCACACATTAAAAAAAAAACCCAACAACTCACCAATCACTCCTTCCCCCGCACCAAATAGCATGCAGCCAGTATGAAATTTCCAGACCACACTCTTCATTCTGCTTGTATCTTTTATACCTTTCTTCTGCCCTTTGTTTTGACTATTTAGATTGTAAGCTCTTGGGGGCAGGAGCTGTCTACCACACATATTTTACAGAGCCTAGCACAAGAGGGCTCCAGTCTCCGGTGGCCTCTAGCCACTACCATAATGAATGACTCCCCCACTTTGGGGGTAAGGACATGGAGACCATTTGTTAACTTGCTCTCCTCTAGCCCAAAAGTCCATGGAACTTGGGCAGCCAGAAGTCTAAAACTACCCATAAATAGGTCTATATTTATACAGAGAGCTGCGTGACTCCTCACTGAGAACAGAAGGAAACTATTTTCTTGAAGTTGTACCTGGTGGTTAAGGCAAATGATTAGGAAGGAGGACTCCTAGGTTCCGGTTTCTGGCTCTGCCACTGCCTGGGTGTGTGATCTTGGGCAAGTCATTTCCCCCTTCTGTGCCTCAGTTTCCCCAGCTCTAAAATGGGGGCACTACCTATCTACCAAGGGTATGTGGAGAGTTAAAGTGGTATGAAAACCTCAGCTGAAAAATGAAGAAGTGCAGAATATTTCTCTGGGGGAAATCTAAACCAAGTCCATATAATTTTCTAAGAGGCTTGACGGATGTCTTCGGATAATCCCAGTCCTTCAGAAAATTCACTTTGCCCGGTAGGCTCACGCGTAGTTGCCGCAAAATTTGTGCATAACAAGGCTTTGGTAGCCTGTGTCAAAGGAGGCCAAGCAATGATTGGAACTAGAGCCCAACCTAGTCTCAAACAAACACAATTTGTACCCCTTTAACACAGCCTGGCCAATCTGTGTTATAAACTTTTTGCTGCAACGGTGTTTCAACGTGATTCTTTGGCCAATGAAGACAGGGCCTTTGTTTGCTCCAAACTAGGAGAGAGAGATCTCCCAGTCAGCATACTAATGCCTTAGCCTGGAGTCCTGGGTGGGCTGAGAAACTGCCTCTCCAAGATCTATGTTGCCTCTGGACTCTCTCTAAACACAGGAGGTCAAACATTCCCAAAAGCAAGGCCACAGAGTCTCCTGATTTTAATTCTTATCTCTGTACTAAACCAGAGCTGGGCTGGTTAGGTGGCTCGGCATTACTAATTTTTAATAAACACTTCACACTTTTATACCATTTTTATCCAAGGATTAAAAAAAATACATCTTTTACAAACATAAGGCCTCACAGTGCCGCGAAGCATGATCCTCATTTTACACAGAGTGAAGCTGAGTCATGGAGAGGTTAAGACCAATACTTTCAAACACATCCACTGATTTCAGTTGCTTCAATTTTGGGGCACCCAAATTTGGACATTCCGTGGCTGGTTTTCAGATGAGGCAAGCACCCACAACTCAGGTTCAGAGCTGACTGGGGTGACCTGCTGGCTGTCTGGAAAGATCCAAAGCTGCTCTTAAAATCATAGAATATCAGGGTTGGAAGGGACCTCAGGAGGTATCTAGTCCAACCCCCTGCTCAAAGCAGGACCAATCCCCAACTAAATCCCCAAATGGCCCCCTCAAGGATTGAACTCACAACCCTAGGTCTAGCAGGCCAATGCTCAAAGCACTCAGCTATTCCTCCCCTTCTGATCTACTGTACAGATCGTGAACTTTCCCTTGTTTTATGGAATGTGCAGATCAGTTCAGGTCACTGGAAAGGGCTACTCCTTGGAGTGGAGGGGCAGGCGCTGCACAATTCTTGTTCCCAGCACCTTTGAAAACAAAGCTATAGGTATTTAATTCAGGGGCACCCAAAAATGGACACATGCAGAAGTCAGTGGACATTTGAAAGTTTTGGCAGAAGTGACTTGAGCAGAGGACAGGACTCATATGTTCCCAGCTTCTCAAACAGCACCCCTTTTTGACTCCACCATCATTTCACATTACTGCCTAGCCTGCAGCCTTATCCCCAGCACCCCAAGCTGAGTGCTGCACCTCAAGCCCCCGCCTCTCCCCCACCAGGCCTTGCCACCCCAACTGCCCCTCTTCCTATGACCTCCCCCAAGTTGTGTCCTGCCTCATCCTCCCTTCAAACTGTCCCCAGCCTGTTCCCCTCCAGTGTTCTCCCTATTTGCCCTCCCACAAGGCCCCCCTCCATCCTTCCTTCAAAACGTCCCCCCCCCATATCTTCCCCAGATGCACTCAAATGCCCTTCTCCCTGGACCCTCCCCCAGCTCAACATCCCCCAACTGCCCCTCCCCAGCCTCTGTCCCACCTTGCTCCCACCCCATCCCAGAGCCTCCCACTGCACCCCCAGCGCCTCAACTGTCTCACCCTGCCCCCCAATTATCCCCCCATCCCGCCCCTGCCCCCCAATTATCCCCCCATCCCGCCCCTGCCCCCCAATTATCCCTCAACTGCCCCCATCCCTCCCAAATGCCTCTCCAGCCCCCAATTATCCCCCGCCCCCCAATTATCCCCCAACTGCCCCCCATCCCGCCCCTGCCCCCCAATTATCCCCCCAACTGCCCCCCATCCCACCCTGCCAACTGCCTCTCCATCCCCTCAATTATCCGCCCCTGCCCCCCAACTGCCTCTCCCCGTCGCACCCCCCAAGGTGGGCCCTGTCCCAAAGGCCGCCCTGCCCCGCCTAGCCCCTCATACGCCGCACCCCGCAAGGCGAGCCCGGTCGCAGGGCCCCCGCCCTATAACTAAGCCCCGCTCCCAGCGCGGCCGCCCTCACTCACCTCGAGCGGGCCCCTGCTCCGCCCCCATGGCGCCCCCGAGACCCGGGCCAGCAGCAGCCCCGCCCCGGCCGGAAGTCCGCGGAGGGAGGCGCGGCTCACGTAACCGTCCGCTCGGCCAATGACCTGCTCGCTCCCCCCCCCCGCGCCATCTTAGGTGAGGGCAGAAGCCTCGCCCGTCCCGGTTCCCCTCGCGTGATTCTTGGCCTTAACAAAGATGGCGGCCGCCCTCCCCTGCCCCAGTCAAACATGGCCGCCCGCAAGGCTTAGTCGTGCAATGAGCATGCGCGCTCACCGCTTCCTCCCCCCCCCTCCCAGCCTGAGTTCTGAGGCATGCATCTTGCAACACCCAGGGGTGGGCTGCAGAGGAGAGAGGGGGAGGGGAGGGGATGGTACCCCTTTGAGTTGGTGGGTCCTGATCTGGGGGAGGGGGGCTTGGCCAGGTTGGGGGGGCTGTTTGAGGGCTAGAAAAGGAGGTTCACAAAGGAATTTTTCAGGGGGTGGCTCCCCATGGAGTGTGTAATTGGTGTTTCCAGCGTGGGGTGGAAGGTGGTGACAACTAGCGATATTTTGTTCCAGGTTCTCTCGAGGTGTTTGGGGGTAGGGGGGCCACCCACACATTCCCGGACGTTCTGGACATGGCGTGGGTCTGCTCCTGCTGGCGTGACCTGGGACACACGTTGCCTGCGAGGTCATGTTGACGAGGGATGCCTTTTTTGAAGAGCACGCTGCGGGGAAGGGGGGCATTTTTAAGCGCTCACTGCCCTGCCCCCGCCGGTGCAACCCGGGATGCATGGGGCCTGCAAGATCACGCCGCACGGGTGTGTGCGGGTGTCATGCCATTTTTCACCTCCGGCAGTGTTACTTTGCGTGCAAGGTCATGCTGGCAGGGGCAGAGCGGTGCGCTCTTAAAAACGTCATCCCCCACCCAATACCGGACAAAACCATTGTCCCGGATGGAGAACAAACCCTCGAAAAGCAGCACGGTCCGGTTTAATACCAACCCATTCCATGATGTGATCTACTTCTCTGGATGAGTGTCCTTGTTTGGTGAAGGTGGTGTTAAGTGTGTTGAGGTGCGTATCCTGGACTTCCTCCTTGGAGCCTATTCTGTGGTAGCTGAGGGCCCGGCGGTAGATAACAGATTTTTTGGTGTGTTTGGGGTGGTCACTGGCGTAGGTGCCGACTCCTGGAGCAACCAGGGAAAAAAATAGTGCCCGCTCAGCAGCGACCTGCCAATCACCTGTTCAGCGGTGGGCAGGAGGGGAAGGAGCGGGGGCAGGAATAGGCGGAGTGAGGCCAGGGTATGCTCGGGGAGGGGGCAGGGAGAGGCAGAACAAGGGTGGGACCTTGGGGAAAGGGGTGGAGTGGGGGTGGAGCCTCAGGGCAGAGTGGGGGATGGAGCATCCACCCAGAACAATAAAAGTTGGCACCTGTGGTCACTGGATATCTGTGAAGGTAACCCCCCAACCTCTCCAAGCTCATCATCAGAAGCAAGCGCCCCACGGAGACGGACCCACCAACTCAAAGCAGTATCAGACCCTGCTGTAACAACATGCAAAACCTGAAGACATATCGCCACGGCTACAAAGATTTATAATACCCAGAACACACCTTTCAAGATCCAGGGGTCCTTCATCTACCTGCCTATCACAACATGTGGGGTACCTCATCCAGTGTGCTAAGTGCCCCAATAACTAGGTGGGTGAAACTAGACAATCACTACGCTCTCAAATGAACTCATACAGAAAAATGATAAAGGACAAAAACACCATATCGCCCATAGGTGAACGCTTTTCACCAAATGATCACTCCATATCAGACCTCTCAGTCCTCAGCCTCAAGGGAAACCTGCACAACACCTTCAAAAGACAAACCTGGGAGCTTAAATTCATAACTTTGCTTGGCATTAGCAATCACAGTCTTAATAACGATTGTCGGAATAAGCCATAAATCCAGTCTGTAACCCACTAACCCCCCTTTTTGTCCTATAGCTGCCGGGGTGGTAATGAGCTACTTCGCCTTGCAGGGTCCCTTAGAATATGTGGTAACTCCTTATGCTAAACAATGTTCCATCTTGTGTTTAGCTGTCACACTCCTGAGTACCTTTCCCTGGCCTGAAGAAGAGCTCTGTTACTCCAGGGGGAATTCTGCACCACTGCGCAATGCAGAATTTTGCAGAAATTAACCCTTTGCGCACAGAATTTCCTTCCCTCACAGAAATGGGCAGCAGAGAAGACACTGCTGGGGGAAGGGAGAGGGAGCTAATGGTTCTTGGCAGCTACAGTTCCCAGCATGCCCTGAGGGAAGGAGAGGGCGGCTCGCAGGAAACTCTGTGCAAGCCTGGGACCAAGCATCAGGCTGTTTCTCCCTCTGGATCCCTGGGGGAGGGGGCAGGCCCGCAGCTGGGCTCTGGGAGGTGGAGGGGGGCCAGGTATCTGGACTGGGGGCGGGGCCTGCGGTTGGGCTCGTGGGGGGGGGGAGGGTTGTGTCTCTGGCCCCTGGCTGGGCTCGTGGGGGGGAAGGGGGCAGAAAAACAGGAACTAGGTTGTCCTAGGGGTTTCTTTAACTCTCTACTCCTGGGGGAATTTTGGGGTGTGTCTGTATTGTAACAGACATATTTGCTGACAGGTATTTTGAAACAAATTACCAAAATAATTGAAATTGGCGTGATTATGTAGTGCTATTTTGACAAATAAAATTTGCAGAATTTTAAAATATTGTGTGCAGAATTTTTTATTTTTTGGCACAGACTGCCCCCGGGAGCACTCTGTGTAGCTGGGACGCTTGTCTGTTTCCCCAACAGAAGTTGGTGCAATAAAAACTCTTACCTCTCCCATCCTGTCTCTCTAATATCCTGGGACCAACATGGCTACAACAACACAGCAAACAAAGAGACAATTAATGACTCTTAATGAACCAGACCAAATAATGACTCTTTCAAGGGACAGAGCCAGGTAACAATCCTTAAAAGACCAGAGCTAACGAGATCACAGTTTCAGATCACTCCTTTCATTGATCCCTGCCAGTACACACCGGTCAGCAAATTTTCTTTTCACATTGTCTGAGGGAAAGTTGCCATTATGTCCCTCTGGTTCGTGACCCATTTCTTGCCTTCCTTCTTCATTGCAGTGAGACGGGCATACAGGCGGGGCAGATGAGTTTAGTTGATAAAGCCCTGCTTTGCATGAGTACTAAGCAAACAGCTGCACTTGAAGTCAGCGGGAGCCACACCCCTTTGAAGATCAATCCATAACAACCAGGCTTGGGTTTGCTTTTCCCAAAGAAAGGACGGCCTAGGGATTAGGGCACTAGCCTGGGATTTAGGAAACCTAGCTTCAATTCCCTGCTCTGCTGCGCACGTGCTGTGTGACCTTGGGCAAATTGCTTAGGCCCAGATGCTTCAAAAGTATTTTAGGGCCTAAACACCTTTGAGGCGCTGGGCCTTAGTTGCTCTGTGCCTCGGTTTCCCATCTGTCAAAGGACGATAATAGCACTGCCCTGACTCACAGGGTGTGCGCGTGAGGATAAACGCATTAGAAATTGTGAAGTGTTGAGATGAATCATAGAATATCAGGGTTGGAAGGGACCTCAGGAGGTCATCTAGTCTAACCTCCTCCTCAAATCAGGGCCAAGCCCCAACTAGCCCCCCTCAAGGATTGAACTCACAACCCTGGATTTAACAGGCCACTGCTCAAACCACTGAGCTATCCTCATCTTGTATCTGAAGAAGTGAGGTTCTTACCCACGAAAGCTTATGCTCCCAATACTTCTGTTAGTCTTAAAGGTGCCACAGGACCCTCTGAGCTATCCTGTTACAGGGATGGAAGCCATAGACTGATTTGCAGTGGTAACAGCATGATCTTGTCTCATCTACCAAACTGAGCAGCGTTGGGGGTGTAGACGTAACTGGTGCGCTGGTGACTCTGTAAGGGAGTGCTCGTACCTCGGATCAGATGCCGAATCAAGGCTCCAGTAAGGAGTTATGAGTAGCCGTGTGCACAAAATTGTGGCTCTGGAATCTTCTGGCGCTTCAAAGGAATTTAGGAGTCTATCTCCCACCGGGGAAAAGTTAACCGTTAGAGTAGGCAGCAGGTAATGACGACGCCTGGCTCCCAGCTCTGCCGACGGCCTTGCGAACGTCACTCTTCCCACTCTGTGCCTCATTTTCCCCGTGTCAAATGGAGACAATGATGCCCACTTTATCACAGCGCTCTGCAAGCCACTGGACATGAGTGTTACGATAATAACCCTTCTGACTCAACAAACAGCTTCTCCACTGCTTCCCCTGCTGTAGTGTTGCTGAGAGCTGTTAAAAGGCATTCACCCCAGAGCCAGCTGCCTTTCAATGGTGTTTGAGGTAATCCCTGTGGTATTAAGCGCCAAGTAAATGTAGCTCCTTTAAGACCAACAATCGAAGTAAATGGAATCCAGTCCTTGGTTATTAAACACATTTTTACCCCAGTGCAAAGGGCCATCCATTCAGAAGCGTAGTGTTTTACACCCTTTTGTACTGGAGAATCAGGCCCTTTCTCTCTTATTAGCAACGCGCTCTTTACATGAGACTAAAAAAGCAGCACCTGCGTGTGACATTCTCTTTTTAATAAAAAATAAAATGTATCCGGAGGAGGAACATGTACATCTTTTAAAAAAAAAAAATAAGGTTAAATATCATAAAACAAGCAACGACGGGCCAGATCCCCAGCAGGTGTAATGTGGCCCTGCTCCACTGAAGTTAATGGGGCCAGATCCCCAGCGGGCGTAGATCAGCATTGAGCCCAAGGTGCTATTCTGATTGACACCAGCGGAGGATCATGCCCGAAAGCGGTGCTTGGCACTGCAGTACGGACAACGTGGCACAGACCCCGGTGCTCAGTGACACAGACAGACAGAACGGGCTTTGTCCCACCTGTAAAAGCCCAGGCACTTGATCGAAGAATGTATCATTGTTACAGAGCAGTACACGGCACAGGACTGAGAGCAGGAGGTTGCACACAGGCACTGCAGAAAGGCATTTGAACCTCAGCGTAAAATCCACATGCAGACCAGGCCCAGGTAACTTTTACCTCAATGTGGCTTGTTCAAATGAACCCTGCTCCTCCTGGAGTTCACCTTGACTAGCCGCATCATGGTAACAACTCCCTGGCCTTGTCTCCAGCAGGATTTCAGAGTCCCATAGCGATCGCCATGTAGATGCCCTCATTTTTATCCAGGGAACTGAATCAAAGAGGGACCGGTTCCAGGCTTGGGTGTTTTTTTTTAAGGGCGTTGAGTCTGCCACAGAGCTCAGACAATGCTCTTCCCTCAGATCTATTGTACAATAAGCTGGGGATCTGCCCCGGTTACAGGCATCAGCGTAGTTGTGCTGACATGTTGCAACCCTTAGTGCCCCCAGGCATTGCCACTTGAAGCCAACCCAGCGTCTGAAATCTCCAGGGCCTGGTTCTCATCTCCCCTGCCAGAGCGGGGTAAAAGGACCTGGATGTAACTGGGAATCAGGCCCCTAGTGCCTTAGAAGCTAGTCTTGCCCAGAGCAGGGTTAATGGGTGTGAGCGTAACTGAGAAAGAAGCCTGGATTTTTCAAGGATATCCTGGTAGATCCCGCCCGCTCTGCTGGAAAATGTAACAAGTGAACCCATCCCGGGTTGCACTGATTTCACTGAAGCATAATAGCAGTGTCAGAGCTGCAGCAGACCAGCAATGCGGGGGTTAATTTATCCATCACAAAATAATACTGATGCGGTTGAAGAAGGGTTTTAGAAACGAGCAACTCGATCCCATTTGAGAGGGAGAAATCCGAGGCCTTTCCCGGGGAAATCCACTCGCCTGGCTGCGTTTAACCAAGTGGTTCGTGCGAAAACCGCACCATGTTTGCGCGCCTGGCTCCGAGGCTACGAACCCAGGCACTGGGCATTGTCAGTGTGGCTATAGGCCAGCCGCTGGGCCCGGAGCTGGTTTCGGAAGCCGCGTTCCTCCCACAGAGGTGGTGAAACAAAAAGGATTCGATCGCTGCTACCGGGAAAAGCTTAACTTAAATCTAAAAACATTAAATTAAAAAACCAACAACTTCACATTTGGTCACAACCTCCGCCTCCTCCCCATCCCCAAAGCCCCTTGCAACTCCCCTCCCCCACCCCCAAGCCGATTTTTCAGGCTGTTGGCTCCAAAACCCCAGGGACTCAGCCTGGTTCTCACTTACCCTAAAAGGCCCCTTATACCACTCCGGCAGGGCAGAGGGGGTGTGGCTAATTGGTGCCCCCTTTACCGGCCCGGAGTGGTGTAAGAGGCTGTAGTGTGAATGAGAATCAGGCCCTAAAGCCCTCTGCCCACACAACAGCAGGGAGTGACAGTACAGTGCCCTCTGATGGAAGGACACCCCCCCAGAGCAGAGCGCAGTCTCCGTGATGTGGGCCGTCTCCGGTCTCCCCGCTGAGGGGGCCAGTTAGCAATGGTTGTTGTGATCCAGACCTCTGGCCAAGCAGGAACTAGACGGGGAGCGCAGCTGCTCACAGCTGTCTGATCATTGCCAGCCGGGGCTGGCTTTGAACTGCTGACCCTGCACTCAAAGGTAGAACATTAGACCCCATATTCAGAGCCGCGAGGAGCCGGATTGGGCCCCGGCAGAGCTACACCCGGCCATCAACTGGCACCAACCACGTCCCACACAGGGGAGGACTGAGCCGGCCAGGGGCACGCTAGGTAACGTGCAGCGGCGGCATCGCACATTGGCCTTTGTTCACGGTTCTCGTGGCGCGGACGTGGCAGCTCCCAGCTGGTCCAGGCCAGTGCTGGGGGCAACAGCCCGAGGGGCAGAAGCTACGCACGCAGCTTAGCTCTGTAGACACAGCAACACTGCGCCCCTTCAGATCCCACAGCGGGGTTGCTCCCTGCTGAAATCCCTGGCGGGCACGAGCCAGGAAGGGCTCACGCACCCTCCAGCGCCGCTCTGCCCCCCAGCTCCTTTGAACCTGGTCATCTAGAGCCCCAGATGTGCTCCTTGTTTGTCTCTTGCTTGGTGTGGAAACCCAAAAGCGGAGGGTTTTTTTTGTTTGTTTGTTTGTTTGAACGCCCGTCCCACGACTCTGGTGGTGATGCCCAGGCAGCGCAGTGAGGCAGGCTGGGCCCATCGCTCTTCAGTGGTGGAGCGACCCACTCATGGGCGGGCGGCAGCAGCTGGCACGCTGACGAGGAGCAGGGGCCGTTTCTGGGCGCGCTGTGTGGAAGGTCTCACCAGCTGATACGACGTTTGTTATGAATTTGGGGGCTGGACGCAGACCGGTTTGTTATTGTAGGGTCGCTCCCAAGCGCTGAGCCACACACACTGGTTTGTTATCGTAGGGCTGCTCGGTACCACGACACGGCTGATTTCGAGACGAAAGGCGGGTCGGGGCAGGCACGGCCAGCCTATGCTTTCTCCAGAGCCGCCCCTTGGAAACCCTCCCCGGCCCCCGGGCTGGCATTTAACCTGTTGTTGTCCGCGTCTGTGCCCTGGTACAGCCCCTCCATCTGGACGCAGCAGTCCCTGGGGTCCTTGGCCCCCTCCTGTGGGCTCCGGCCTCCGTTCAGCGGCACCTTCTCCTGATTGGACACCTTGGTGGCTTCGGGGGTGTTGCATCCTTGCACCTTGCTCTTGGCCTTGAGCCTGTTGTGGTAGGAGAACCCGGCCATGGTCATTGCTACGGCCAGCGTCATCGACAGCAGCACCGTCACCGTCACAAACTGTGCCCAGTAGGAGCGGTGCCCGCCCTGTGGGCCTGCCCCCCGCTCCAGCCCTTGCCCGACCATGCTGTCCCCTCCGCTCTCGCTCAGGATGTTGCCTTCCGTGGGGTCCTGCACCACATAGCGGGCCACAGCTTGGCGGTGCCCGTTCTCGCTGGCCCAGCACGTGTACTCGCCCGCCGCCTGGCGCTGCATGATGATCACCAGCATCTTATTGTCCAACATCAGCAGCCCCGCCGGGGTCTTATCCCCTGGGTAGCTCCAGTTGTAATTGGCCAGGGCGGAGAGCTGCGGGCAGGGCAGACGGATCACAGAGTTCAGTGCTGGGCTCAAAGCTGGAAAGATACAAGGAGGGGAGAGCGGTGAGTCTCTGGCTGCCCACCCGGACCAGCTGCCGCTGCTGTTCAAAGAGCTGGCGCCAGCCCCTTGCGACTAGAGCCGGGGCGAGTCACGGCGTTTGCGGGGAACAAACTTCATTTCAAATTGGACCGACCGTGATCATTTTCGTGGCCAGTTGAAAAGTGAAAAACAAAAAGGTGTTTCAGGTCAAACGAAAGGTTTCGATTTTGAGCGTTTTTAGATGGCTAATACATTTGGAAACGAAAGGAAATTTTGAATTGAAATGTTTCAATATTTTTGGAAATTGTTGAGGGGTTTTTTTTTGGACAAACAAGTGGTGCGAAACTGACACGAATGCACAAAATGTTTTGGTGTCTCTGAATCAGCATTTTTCATTACGAAAAACATGGTTCCTGTGAAAAATGTCACGCAGCTCCACTTCCAACCTGGGCACCTAGTGAGAAACCTGATTTTCAAAGGAACTGAGCACCCCCGCCCCCAATCCTCTCTCTCTGCACCTCAGGGGGCGTTACCACAAAACAAAGCAGTTTGGAGAGTCAGACCAGGAAGGGCTAGATTCTGAGTGCAGTATAAACTATATGGAAGCAACTGGAGTGACTCTGGATTCACACTGGTGTCACTGAGAGCAGAATCCAGGCTGAAATTGGAGTCAACGGGCCCAGTTCTCCACTGCCCTGCACCTCGGGCAGTCACCTACTAATATTTAGGGCGTCCTTGCGCTGGTTGCGGGAGAAACGGGGAGCCAAGAGACAGTGCCTGCGCTGAAGAGTATATCTAAGTACAGCGGGTGCCGGTTTGCAGCAATGCCAATATGACCAACTTTCGGTTACTAGCGACATTTTGCCGGGAGCTGATCCCGTCCCACTGGGGATCCAGATCCTGGCAACAGGCAGGCTGCTTAGCGACAGCTGGTTTCGGAAGAAAGGCCCCGGCCACAGGCAGGTTTGCAGGGCTGCAGCCCAGGGAGGAAGCGCCAAGGTCCCAGGCTTGGCACATCCGACCCTGGCTACAGCTGGGGACCCACCACCTGCACAAGAGGGAACAGGCTGGGGTGCCTGCATCCTCAGCCAAACTGGGGAGCACCTGCTGGAGTCCTGGCACTGCGGGTGGGGAGGGGAGGCTGCAGGCTGGGCAGCAGCCCGGGTGAGGGCAGTGGGCACCTGCAGGGGTGCACGGTACCTTCTCCAGGCTGCGCCCTGCCCTGGCACAGGGGGCCTGGACTCGGCACGTCCTAATGCTTCCTTTCCGAGTTGCAGCCAGGAAAGGAAGCGCTGGGGCACGCTGAGCGCTGGCTGGAGGCAGAGTTACGGGGCTGCAGCCGGGGAAGGCACACTTCAGAGCTTACTGGCAACTTTCAATGAATAGTAACTTTTGGCCAGGAACCGGGAGATTTGCTAGCCGGGGCGGCCGCTGTATCAGACCATGGGATGGCTGCCATGTTGGCTGATGCACCAGTGGAGACCTCCAGAGCTAAAATCACGAGCTGCTGTAGTGTGAGCTAAAGCTCCCAGCACCGCAACAGCCTCTAATCCTCAGTGGATTGGGCACAAAGGGAGAACTGTACAGTTTGTTATTGTAGGGTTGTCCGGGGGACTGGCACCCTGGCGTGGTGTTGTAGGGTTGCCCAGAGTGGCTGGCATGGTGTTGTAGGATTGTCTGGGGGTGCTGGCACCCTGGAGTGGTATTGTAGGGTTGTCTAGGGGGGCTGGCACCCTGGAGTGGTATTGTAGGGTTGTCCGGGGGTGCTGGTACCCTGGAGTGGTATTGTAGGATTGTCTGGGGGTGCTGGCACCCTGGTGTGGTGATGTAAGGTGGTCTAGAGGGGCTGGCACTTCGGTGTGGTGTTGTAGGATTGTCTAGGGGGGCTGGCACCCTGGGGTGGTGATGTTAGGTGGTCTAGGGGGCTGGCACCATGACGTGTTATTTATTACTGGGCTGAGCACTGCCTTGGTGACATTATTTTTGTTTGAAGAGTTTGTCGTGGGATTTGCTCCGCGCTGTTTGCAAAGCAGGGCCAAAGCCCACTGGAGACGCCATGCCTCAGAAGCACTGAGCGGGGCCCGCTTCGTTCCTCCCCGGATCCAGTTCCTCCCTAGAGCAAGCAGCCTGCCCTGGCTTGCAGCGGGGCCTCCTCAGCCCCCCTCGTAGCATTGCAGGCTTAGAGCCCCACCCGCCAGCAGACACGTGCCCCAAGCACAGTAAACCCAGAAGGTCGATACTCAACTTTTTACCAGGCTGCTGCCCGAGTCGTCCCGAGACCTGGGCGTGGCCCTGCCTCTCCCACTGATCTGCTGGCACGTAGGCCCCGGTCTACCCCACTCGACGTCCTGCAGCCAGTCACTCCTAGAGAGGGAGAAGTGACACACTGAGAACCCAAGGCAATGAAGTCGCTCTCAAGCCGCTGCTTGACGTGGGGACGGCAGGTGAGCTGGTTGCTGGGCTCGCCCTGAGGAGTTGAGTTCAAGTCCTCCCTTAGGTCCCAGGACATAAGAACATGAGAACAGCCAGACTGGGTCAGACCAAAGGTCCATCTAGCCCAGTATCCTATTTTCTGAGAGTGGGCAATGCCAGGTGCCCCAGAGGGAATGAACAGAACAGGTGATCATCAAGTGATCCATCCCCTGTCGCCCATTCCAAGCTTCTGGCAAACAGAGGCTAGGGACACCATCCCTGCCTATCCTGGCTAATAGCCATTGATGGACCTGTCCTCCATGAATCTATCTAGTTCTTTTTTGAACCCTGTTATGGTCTTGGCCTTCACAACATCCTCTGTTGTCGCCCTTTTCTGAACCTTTTCTAATTCCAATATATCTTTTTTGAGATGGGGCGACCACATCTGCACACAGTATTCCAGATGTGGGCATACCGTGGATTTATATCGAGGCCACAGGCAACTGGCCAGTGGCACATGCTCTGAGAGCGTGGTGCCCGTGGAATGCCCATCAGCGCTAGCGAAGCACGTTAACAACACCGTAGGGCTGTATTCCTGGTGGGCGGGGCCTTCGGGCTAGTGCTCAAAGAACACTAGGGGCTTTTCACCCTCCCCACTCCCACCACTCCCCGAGGCCCAGAAATGCCCGTCTAGAGCAGCTGTCCTGGGAGGATCTCAAAGCGCTTGGCAAGCTCTGGGATTCAGGGGAGTGTTATTTTCCCCTCTTTGCAGGCAGGAAATAAAGCAAGTCACTTTCCTAAATTCATACGGTGGGATAAGGCAGAATAAAACGCAAGAGTCCTGATTCCCAGTCCCCTGCTCTAACCACCCCCGCCCTAAGTTGGGAACAGAGCCAGAAGTCCTGACTCCCAGCCCCCTGCCTCTGACCACTACAGCCCACTCTCTTCCCAGAGCAGGGAACAGAACCCTGACTCGCCCGGCTCTGCTCTAACCACCAGACATGGCTGCCTCCCTCTCGGAGGTTACGCCGGAGCTGTTCCACACACTGAGCTACTCACGTGTTTTTGTTTGTGCCTCGGGTCTCCTGGCACGACTGGCTGTGCCTGTCCCAGGCGCAGTAGGGGTCTCGGGCGAGGACACAGTCAGCACAGCTCTTGTACACGCTGCAGTTGGCCAGCGGCACCTGCAGCACCCCCTTGGAATACCCCACATACAGGATCCCCTGCAGGGGGGAGACCCACAGAAAATGTCACATCTATGTCACCTCCTTAGCACCGCCCGGCTGCAGACGGGGCAGTGTCTCCACTTCTTGTCTGCTGCACCAGGCAGATCTGTAGGTCTCCTACCTTCCCAGGTGAGAACAGAAGGTTCTGCACAGGTTCCGGGTCCTTAAACAGCTGGATTTCCTCAATGATATGAGTACCGCTGGGCAGAGCCACTGCTCTGTGCAGGAACCCTTGATCTGTGGGAGGAAATATAGGGACACAAGTGTATTTATTTACCATGGGGCTGAGATAATGCATCCTCTCTTTGAGGAGCTGATCTCTTCTCTAAGCTGACTGTGTGTAACAAAGGTATTTAAGTTCCTAGTTTCCGTGGAAGTTGAGTATCTGGATCTAAATGGCTAGTCTATTCAATTCTCTCTCTCTCTCTCGCTCTCACATACAATTTGCTTAATTAAAAGAGAATGATCCTTCGTTTATACGGGGCCTTTTGCCCCAGTATGCCTCCAAAGCACTTTGTTAGCTGGCTGGCACCAACCTTGTCAGGCTTATGCAAACCACTTTGTCCACCATTAAATGCAGCCACCTCTGGGGTGAAGAGCGGTAAATGTGTTTAACAATGCACGGGACAGGAAGTGAAGGAGAGCCATCCCTAACTGAAAATGCAATGGGCAGGGTGCAATTAACAGAGCTGAGACTGGCTAGTAAAATAGGGTGAAACACCCCCCTGCTCTCCTAACACACAAATTCCAAAATAACAAATACACAAATTGGCACACAAAAAAAATAGTAGAAATGTTTAATTTTTTTTTGAATTTTCAATTTAATTTTTCCCAAAAGTCTCAAACACTAAACTAATTTTTTTTTTACTCTTTAGTTTCATCCAAAACCCCCAAAAGTTTCATTTCAGGTCCACCCGAAATAATTTTTTCTTAATTTTTCAGGTTAATCACCGGAAAACGAATTACTCGTCTGACTCCGGCGATAAGTGCCTGTCCCCGTCCCACTGATGTCAATGGCAGCTTTACCATTGGGTAAACCGTCAGCTGGGTGCAGAATCCAGCCCCACGCACCGATGAGGTGGTTTCCCCTGCTCGTGGGAGCCGTACCTGTTCCCAGGAACATCACCTCATAGGAGGTGCCCGTGACACTGTGGGTCTGATCGACTGCGATCCGCGTATACTTCACGTTCTGCTTCACCAGCAGTGGCTGCTTGTTCCTGGGCACAACCTTCTCATCCATCAGGAAATGGTTTTTTATGAAGGTCAGGACTTTGTCCGCTGATGGGTACACCGAGCACTGCAGTGGGAGGAGAAAGGCAGGGGATCAGAAGGGCTATCAGCTGCGGGATCTGGCTTAGTGACCGGCTTAGGGTTTGTTTGTTTTTTGCTCTAGGCACCCTTGCAAAGGAGGAAAGCACAACTGATTTTGCCAGCTTCCTGGAAAAAGCAAGGCAGATAGTCTATTATCCAGGGAAACTGAGGCACGGAGAAGTTAAGTGCCTTGCCCAAAGTCAGTGACACCAGCAGGAATTGAACCCAGGTGTCCTGAATCCCAGCCTCCTGGCTTAACCCCAACCGTGTCCTGCAAAGTCATCCTTCGGGGCAGACCCACACATCATCATGCCGTGGCGTTAGATGCGCGAAGCAAGTGATACTCACGCTGCCAGGGCGGGGCTCAGGGATCCCATCGCTGTATGTCGTCCACCGGGCGCTCTGCTTGTTCAGCTCCTGGTATTTGCCACTGAAGACTCTTTCGATGTCCTCCAGGTTGAAAGCGCACACCGCCGTGCTGCCTGCGTCTCCCATCTGCCTGCCAAGGGACGAGTGATCCTGTTAGTGGTACACGCCAGCGCTAGGGGGACCCCGAAGGTGGGCAGGTCAGATGTGGGATCCAGCCACACCCTGCCTGTGACGTGTGGGTGAGTGGGCATGGGGAGTCCACCCAATTTGGGGCCCTCTCTAAGGGCTGTTCCTTGGCCATATAAACATTGGATCCTTCTGAAATAATAATGCCAGGTGCTTCCACAGTGACGTCCATCCAGGGCCTCCATCTACTTGCAAAGCATCAACTCTCACCACCCCGGAGTGGCAGGCACTTGTCTATGAACAGAATCCAGGAGTCCTGACTCCCAGCCCCTGCCTCCTCTGACCACTGGCCCATGCTCCTTCCTAGAGCTGGGCCGAGAACCCAGGCGTGCCAACTCCCAGTCCCCAGGGCTCTAACTCTTAAATTACACTCACACCTAGCTGTGGCACTAGAATCTAGGAGTCCTGACCCCAAGCCACCTGCTCTGACCACTAGACACCAGTCTCATCTCTTAGTTCTGAAATGTACTAAGCAACTTCTTCAGCAATACCACGTGGCAAGGAGTTCCACAGGTTAATGGCATGTTCTGCAATAATGAAATATTCAGGGTGAACCATAATGCAGAAGGGGTCCTACTTTCTGGGTACAGCATACCCCTTTGAATGGGCAGGATGGACAGATGCCCCCTCCCCGCAAATGTCCTTCTTGCGTTAGAGCCAGGGGATTTGTGGGTGTGCGAGCCTGGGAATACGTGGGTCCTTGGGGGATTTCAGAGCCCTTTGGGCAGGAGAGGAAAGTTTCCTGCCTTACCATTGTGAGGCGAAGAGTCCATAGAAGACGGCGCCCCCTCCTGGCTGGGGTAGGACAAAGGCGTGATGGATCACGTTGAAAGGGAAGTGTCCAGGCTGGACGCACGTCAGCTGAGCTTTCAGGAACGTGGTCCATTTCTTCTGCAGCACCTTCTGTCCTCCGACGTCATTCTGCAGGAGAGGAATGCCTGGTCACCCTGAACGGAGCAGGGCCTCTCCTTAAAGGGACGGCTGAGAGGACGGCTTGTCCTAGGGGGTCAGCGCGCAGCCATGCCGCCATTGCGCTGGTACAGCTCCGCCAGCAGGGGGTGTATGTGCTGCTCCAAACAGGGGAAGAGCTATTCTGAATGAAGGGAAGGTCTGAGAGGAAGGGTGGCCCTGTGGGGAGACCCGAACTCAATCCCTTGCTCAAAATAAAAAGGGGGAATTCTAGTGGTACAGCTGTGGTGAGTAAACCAACCACCAGGCTCTGATCAGCTGATGTTCCAGACAATGATGTTGTAATAAGCCCTCGTGCATAGCCAGTGAGGTCTGAGGAACTAAAAAAGGTGGATAGAATCAGGAAACCACCCAGACAGTGGTAACGGGCTGTTAGGAGGCTAGGGAGCCATTTTAAGATATGGGATTAATAGATTCCAAAGCCAGAAGGAACCACTGTGATCATCCAACCTGACCTCCTGTACAGCACAGGTCAGAGAGCTACCCCCAAATAATTCCTAGAGCAGATCCTTTAGGAAAACATCCAATTAAAAATGGTCAGGGATGGAGACTCCACCAGTATCCTCGGTCTTTTGTTCCAACACTTAATTACGCTCCCTGTTAAAAATGGATGCCTTATTTCCAGTCTGAATGTGTCTGGCTTCAACTGCCAGCCATTGGCTTGTGTTAGACCTTTGTCTGCTAGACTGAAGAGCCCACCATCAAAGATTTGTTCCCCACATAGATATGTATAGACGGTGCTCAAGCTACCCCATAACCCACATGGAGCGCTGGGGTCTGAATGCAGGGACAGTTGCAGTGTGACCCTGAAAGGGAGTGGAGGCCAGCTAGCATCATAGAATATCACGGTTGGAAGGGACCTCAGAAGGTCATCTAGTCCAACCCCCTGCTCAAAGCAGGGCCAATCCCCAGACAGATTTTTGCCCTAGATCCCTAAATGGCCCCCTCAAGAATTGAACTCACAATGCTGGGTTTAGCAGGCCAATGCTCAAACCACTGAGCTATCCCTCCCTCCTTCCTGGCCCTAGGCTGGTGAAGAGCAGGGAAACGGGACAGCAAGTGTCTATATCTGTAAATAAACAGGTGACACCAGCCCCCTCTCATCCAAACGGAACCGTCCTGGATTTCTGCTAGAGCCCAGCTCTGGGAAGGGGCAACTGAATTTTATTCCTCGTCAATGTCTACATCTATGCAAGGCCCCCGGCACAGATCTGAAGGCAATCAAGCTGCCTAGACGCCACGGAGGGCAGAACGGAGGCCCTGTGACTCTGGTGGGTCAGTTGTCGTCACCGGGGCAGGCCACAAGCGGGAGAGACGACAATGCCGGGGTACGGGACATAGGAGCGCACGCGGTCCCATAGCCAACTCGGGCCGGCCTCATACCTTGCACACACGAGCCACCCGGGAGACCGTGAGCTTCTCAAAGAACTCAAACTCCTCGGCCGTCTCCTCGAAGAAGAAATAGACCTTCTCGTCTCCAGGGATGTTGGCCGAGGCCACGAAGCCTGCGTCGACTGTGGGGGGAAGGAGACCAGGCGGGTTAGACGCCCAGTCCCTGCGTGCTGCTTCCCGAGGGGCAGATGGGAGGGCATGTAATTATCCATGGGAGGCTGGCGGCTTGTTGCCTAGGAAACACATCCCTGAGGCCAGTGGGCACCAGCCGTTCGCCTGTTGGCTAATAGGTGACGGCGACCCGAGCAAAGAGTCCCTGAGCCTGATTCTCACTGACGTGAGGCCCCGTTAAGTGGCTAAAGGGCCTTAAAGTGGGGGGAACTGGTCCCCTGAGAATCCTTCCTGAGCAGGGTTCTCCCTGGCCAGCGTGGAGCTGCACCCGCCCCGGCTTAGGGGGCAGATTGTGGGCATGAGTACAGTGCCTTAGGCTGTGGTTATTCTCTGCTTCCCAGGGACGGCAGGGGGCCAAGGGGAGCTGCTCTAACTGGCCCCGGAGCCAGGCTCAGCACAGCCTCCGCACACGAAGAGCTCAGAGGGTGTTGCAGCCTCTCATCCCAACCCCACCAGGTAACAGAGTCGGGTCCCGTGTCTGGAAGATCATAAATGGGCCGCTATCGATTTCAGATGCTACCTCAGCCCCTGCCCTTCCCCACACCCCACCCCGTTCCCCGCGGCAGGAACAGGCCCTCCGACCCCCTCCTCACCATTCAGCCACCTGAGGAAAGTATCGGTCTTCAGAAAGGTCCTGCTGCCCAGGGCACGGGAGATTATGGGCTCGTTTCCTTGGAAGTTGTTCATGGTCCCCGTGTAGAGCTCACCATCTGCAGGCGGAGAGAGGTGGTGAGGGAAGCCCGGGCCGGCAGCTGTGCCGGTGCCTCTGGGCTCGGTTATTTAGTGAGAGAGAGGTAAAGTGCTTAGAGATCTCTGTATGAAAAGTACCAGAGCTAGGACTTGTTACCCTGATGGATTAGAGTGGGTGACCCGGGCATTAAGGGATAAATCTACACACAGCGCATCGAAGGATGACAGCAGGACCTTAAAGGTTTCTTTCAGGCCAGCCCTATCCAGGACCTGCCGCACCGAAGACATGTGACTCGACTGATTCAGCTCAAGACCTAATCCTTTGCTTTGAGGCACCATAACTGTCCATGGGCCGACCACTGTAGGGCAGCGGGTTCCACCTCCCTCCCCATCACGCAGTCCCTGCGCAGCCCCTGGTTTCCAAAGAGCTCCGTACTCACCCACCAGGATGGCCGTATACTTGTGGCGGGGGTCGAAGGGGCACTGTCCCTTCCCATCCTGGAGGAGAGGCTCCCCTTGGCCTCCAGAAACCAGGCTGAAATTCTCCAGATTCTACGAGGAATTAAAAATCAATCAATCAGTCGCAGAACAAGAACAAACCGAATGGTGGTCACTTGAGCCTAGAGCCAGATCCCTTCCAGACTCCAGGCACAGGGCGGGAGGAAATCCAACTTTCATAAATAAGATAATTCTCTCTATTATATTATAATCGACGTGTTTTACCAACGAGGTCACCCACAAGCCAGTGGCAGCGCCAGGAATGGAAGCCCGGTCTTCTGAGACTCAGCCCAGGGCTGTAGCCACTACGCCACATTCATAATATAACCCCAATAAAGTCAAATTATAATACTAGATGGAACCCCAATAATCAGGAACTGCAAATCAGGACACCCTTGAATTTTGGAGGAGAAGCCAGGCCAGAGCTCAGATGAGCTCTCTCTTCTGGTGACTCTAACTTGAGAAAATCAGAGGCCACTTTTGAAAATGTTGACCCGGGTTCCTGTAAACTCACCACTTTTCCCGTAAACCCGGGCCTTTCATTTGGAAAGGGAAATAACCAGAAAATATAGGAGGCTCCTCAACGTACACACAGAGCCAACAGGGGGCAGCAAAGCCTCATCTATGGAGACTAGAACTTGAGTCCTGACTCCGCCCCCACTCGCTCTGACCACTAGACCACACTACCTCTCAGACCTGGAAATAGAACCCAGGAGTCCTGACTCCGCCCTCTTTGCTCTCTTGCTCTCCTCTCTCCTCACACACTGCCTCGACGAGGTGGTCAATAAAGGCCAGATTTCCCAGTGTTTAAGCGCTTAAAGATACGGGTAGGCATTTATTGGGATCTTCAAATGCACTTAGGCACCTAACTCCCTTTGAAGACCAATGGGACTAAGGTGCTACTGTAAATCTCAATAGGTGCCTAGCTGCATCGTTAGGCGCAGGGCCGGCTCCAGGTTTTTTGCCGCCCCAAGCAAAAAGAAAGAAAAGATGGAGTGCCGCCCCCAAAGGGCCAGAATACCACCCCTTGAAAAGGGCCACCCCAAGCACATGCTTGGAACGCTGGTGCCTAGAGCCGGCCCTGGTTAGGTGCCTAAATCCCTTTGCCAATCTGGCCCTAAACCCTTTCTGTGTCAGGATTTAGGGAGACCCCATGTGGTAACCCTGCACAGTGCAGTCTGGGGAACTGGAGGGCCAGAGAGAATCACAAGGTCTCTCTGTGTCCAGCAACCTCGGTGTCAATCACAGACCAGCCCTGCCTCTTGGCCCATTTCCGGAACCAAACCCTTTGCAGGCTCTGAAGCGATGTACCGGGTGCTGGAGTCAGAGCTTCCCGCCAACCCAGACCAGACACTCACAATGTAAGAGCAGATGGGGCTGAAGGCGTAGGTCCCACAGGTGTACAGGTGAGTCTGGTTCACTGGCACCAGGACACGGATGAAGTTGAAGCACTCTGTCTGTGGGAGAAAAGAACACGCGACTTAAAAGAACAGCTTAAATTTCAGATTGCTTCACAGGCTGCATATAACAGGGTCACTATCTCAGCACTGACATGCAGCCACCTCTGGGGTGGGACGCAGCCGTGATTTAACAGCCCCCAGCAACATCTCCCTGGGGTCACTTACCCATAATTAAAATGCAGCCACCTCTGGGGTGGCAGCAGTTTCAAAACTACACGACCACACTGCCCAGGGATGGCTCAGCCAGCATTAAAATGCAGCCACCTCTGGGGTGGGACTTGGCAGCAGTTCAATAGCACACAGCAACACTATACAGGTATCCTGCTCAGCACTACAATACAGCCACCTCTGGGTCACAGCGTGGCAGCTGCTTCAAAAGCACACAGTAACGCTGCACAGCGATTATTTACCCAACATTAAAATGCAGCCACTTCTGGGGTGGGACTTAACAGCCGTTCAACAACACAGAGCACTGCTATACAGGGATCGCTAGTCAGCATTAAACAGCATCCACCTCTGAAGTGGAGTGCGACAGCTGTTCAACCGCACATAGCAATGCCACACTCGCCCAGCCCTAAAAACCAGCCACCTCTAGAGTGAAGCGTGATAGCTGTACAACGGTTTAGGAGAAGAAAAACACGACCGAGCTGAGCTGCAAGGGGAAGTTAGGGAGGCAAAGGAAGAGTTGGCCAGGACACCAGAATTATCACCCCCCTGCGTGGGATGTTTTAAAAGACCTCAAGCACAGCACAGCACCCCAGGCTGAGACCCTGAGAAGAAGGCCACCGAGTCCACCAGCAAGCACGGCCGCTTCCTGTTCAAGGTGTGGGAGTGAGAAGCCAGGCTCAGGAATTGCACCTAGCTTGGTGTCACCTCTCACGGTACCACAAAGCACCCACCCACCCCAGCACCCATCTCTCAGCATTGTCACCAGCTCTCCATGCCCTCCATAGACACTCCAAGACTAACCGCGCCCTCGAGGGGCATAATACAGCCCACACCAGCACCAGCTTCTCCCCCTCTCCTTACCACATTGCTTTTCTTCTTAAAGACACACTCGTCCTTTTTTTTAAGCAGGGGTGGCCACGCTATCTGTAAGGGGGGAAAGAGAGAGATTCTTCAATGGTTGGGAGGAAGATTCCACCGGGAGAACAGGTCAAGAGCCTGTAATAGTGCACTGGAAGGAAAGGAAGCTATTGAGAGCAAAATTCTCAGGGAGGGGAATATGGTCTAGTGGTCAGAGCAAGGGGGTTAGGGAGTCAGGACTCTTCAGTTCTATTCTCTCTAGAGACTTCTGCTTAAGGTTCAAAGCACTTAACCAACATTAATGAATTACATCTCACAATTCCTCGCCCCTGAGTACCATTATCCCCACTTTCCAGATGGGGAAACTGAGGCACGGGGCGGGAGAACAGAACCCAGGTCTGACTTCCACTTGCCCCACCCCCTGGAACAGCCTCCCTCCCTCCTGCACCCCAAATGCTCCCTACTCTCTGGGGAAGGCCGAGCTCTACTCACTGAGCCCGTCAGCTTCATGGACCCAGCGCTGTCCACCCGGAGGGAGAGGAGGGTGTCTCGAGCGCCCACGTACAGAGCGCCTTCGTCTTCGCTCAAGAGGAAAGTATCATAGTTGAAGATTCCCTCCTGGCTGAAGCTGGTTAGGGTCCTCCGGGGGTCTCCTGGCAGGGATCAAACAGTGCATGGTATATGATACTTAGCACCTATATACACCTCTACCTCGATAGAACGCTGTCCCCGGGAGCCAAAAAATCTTACCGCGTTATAGGTGAAACCGTGTTATATCGAACTTGCTTTGATCCACCAGAGTGTGCAGCCCCCCGCCCCCCGGAGCACTGCTTTACCGCGTCATATCCGAATTCGTGTGATATCGGGTCGCGTTATATCGAGGTAGAGGTGTACCATAACGTGGGTCCTATATACCATAAAGAGGCACCAATATCCCATCATGTAGCACCCGCATACTGTAGAGTGGCACCTATATACCATAGCTTGGCACCTCTATTCCAAAACTCAGCACCATAGATGTAAAGTGGCACCTCTACAGAATAGCATTAGAGTTGGTTGAAATTTTTTTTCCAACAGAATTTTTTTTTTTTTGTCGGAAACCCGTTGATTTCCACAGAATTTCATTTTTTGATGAAAATCACCTAAACAAAGCGTTTTGATCATGGAACAGAATGCTCTGGGGTTTGTTTTTTTGTTTCACAATTCATTTGAGAGGATTTTAAAAAATCAAAATCAATTGACTCAAAACAATTACAAAAAAATTCATTTAGCAGGAATTGTTGAAATTCTACGTTTCATTCCCATTTGGAACAAAAACCAATTTTGAAATGGCGGAACGTCCTGCTAAAACCAGAAACGTAACTTCCCACAAAACTCTACATAACATGTGTGTGTTGTAACACAGCATTGATCATAAGAACGTAAGAACGGCCCTACTGAGTCAGACCAAAGGTCCATCTAGCCCAATATCTGGTCTTCCGACAGTGGCCAGTACCAGGTGCCCCAGAGGGAATAAACAGAACAGGTGATCATCAAGTGATCCATCCCCTGTCGCTCATTCTCAGCTTCTGGCAAATATATCACAACTTACCATGTATATGTTGTCACATAGCATCTATATAGCAACTTATATGTATATACCATAACCATCTATATGCCATAACATAACACATATGCATGTACCATAAGAGAGCATGTATGTGGTACAGTGGTGAAGGGTCTGGACTATGACAAAGGAGATCTGGATTCTACACCAGGCTCTGCCGGAGACCCACTGGGTGACCTGGAGCAAATCACTTCCCCTCCCACATTTGGTTTGCCTTGTGTATGGAAACACCACAGGGCGTGGCCTGGCTCTCACTGTGTGTATGTACAGCTCCTAGCACAATGGGGCTCTGATCTCCGTGAGGGCCTCTTGGAGATAATGCAGATAAATAATAAATGCATGTACTGTAACAGAGCACCTATATACTGAAACACAGCATATCTATCTATATATATACACGCACTGTAACTTAGAGCCTACATACCGTAATGTAGCATGAATACGCCACAACTTGGCACCTATATACTGTAACATAACATAGATACTGCAACTTAGTGCCCATGTAATGTAGCACGTTAATCCCATAGACTTTCAGTGCTCTAGGGTGTGACCCGAAGCCCACTGACGTCAAAGGAATGGACTCAGAGGGGGGTTTGGATCAGGCCCCATATGTTGTATGAACACTGGCAGATGGAGTAGCCAGCATATGCAGTGGAAATGTCTCTGGAGCCGGCACTGCGGCTGGCAGGACCCTACAAAGGGCCTGGGGGAAGAGCGTGCCCTTTTCTCAGCAGCAGCAGGCTGAGGGTGGGTGGGAAAGAGGAAGGCTGCGACTGCTGGTGACTCAGTAGGGGGCGCTTTTCCCTCGGAGCCAGTGCTGACCCCAATGCCCCAGCACGGTGCTGCAGGGGGCAGGATGGGGACTCAGCAGGGGGCGCTCTCCCCTCTGGGCCCGCCTCAACGTGGTGCTAGGGGGTGCTGAGCTGTCAGAAGGATGAGACGGAAATAACGCGGTCCGGATCGTTTGTGGTCATTGAAGATCCTGCAGTGTTTTTGCAAGGGTGAAGGCTTGACAAGGGGATGCAGCTTCAGCCTAGAATATTATAAACACGTTTCCAGAAGGCCTTAGAGCACCGGAAACGCTTCACTGGCCACGATTGTTTATTTAGCTACACCGAAAGCAAACAGACAAAAAACAAAAATCCCCTGTTGCACTTGCATCCCAAATTGCAGCCACGTCCTAGGATTGGTGGATGTGAGCTCCAGACACTCACAGAGCTGTACGGCTGGAAGGGACCTCGCAAGCTCATCTAGTTCAGCCCCACCGCCCCATGAACAGAAACTGACTAGATCCCCAAGCCCAAGTGATTTGTCTATTTCCAGAGCTGAAGCAAAAAACCAAACCAAACCAAAGGGTGAAATAAGAAAATTAGATCTTGCAAAACTCTTATTGATTTAATAACCCACCACCGGGAAGGGAAATTGTTTTATTAAAAGATGCGGGGGGGAGGGGAGGCCTGATTCTCACTACTCAGGCAGCGTAACCCGAGAGCCCATGTCATTTACACACCACTCTGAGGCCCCTTTTACTCTGCTAGAAGGAGGAAACGGAGCCAGAGGGAGAATCAGGCTCATGATTTTATTCTGGACAAATTCCAACTCCTCTAATTACAACCCTGCCTCCTGTTATTAGGAAGCACGGCCTGATATTCAGCCTGAATGTTCCTTTGCTTTATTTTCCGTTGCTCGGAGCAAGGCTTCTGTAATGCCGGCACGGGGATGTGGACTCCGGGGGTCTATTCCTGGCTTTCAGCAACTCGCTTCAGTCCAGATCCCATGGGTTAGGTGCCTAAATGCCTTTGGGAATCTGGGCCTTAATGTCTCCATGCCTCAGTTTCCCATCTGTCAAGCTGGGCGAACAATCCTTCCTTTCTCCCACCCTTCACCTGTCTTGCCTATTTAGGTTATAAGATATCCAGGGCAGGGATTGTCTCTCATGGTGTCTATGCAGCACCTAGATTGGATCCTCTAAACCCTCTCCAACCATCCTGTTTCCTTGACATTCAAGTGCTTGTTAGATGCTTTTCCTCTCTAGCCAAGTCGGCCGTATTTAGCTCTTCTCATCTCCAATCCTAAATCAGGTCCGTCTCCCCCACCCAACAAGCCCCTTCCCAGCTCAGTGGAAATCGCGTGATATTTCTTTTCTTTTCAGGAGGAGCTGAAAGGCGATCAGGTTTAATAGACGGCTGCTCGCTAGAGAGGCTGCAGCTGGAATTTGTTTTCACAGGGTGCCAGCAAAGGCCGGGGTAATTATAAGCATTCCCCAGAGCTCTGGCGTTTACCGCCTCTGGGTTTGGAAAAGGAAGAATGCGTTCGTTTTGTGCAAACAGGGCCCGATCCAAGTTGGTGGGAAGACTCGCGTCACCACGGCCCAAAGGGACCATTGTGATCATCTACTCTGACCTCTTGCCCAGGGCAGGCTAGCTAGAGCATGTCAGACTTCCAGGCCAGATCCTTGGGGTAGGAAAACTGGGCCCAGTTTGAACTCAGGCCCATTCAAGCCACTGGCGACCCCTGTGGCCTTTGTATCAGTTCCTCGGTGTGCTGACAGCTGCTCCTTCGGTCTATATTAGGGGTTCTCAGACTTTTGTCCTGGTGACCCCTTTCACCTAGCAAGCCTTTGAGTGCGACCCCCCTTATACATTAAAAACACTTTTTTATATATTGAACCCCATTATAAATGCTGGAGGCAAAGCGGGTGGAGGCTGACAGATCGCGGCCCCCCATGTAATAACCTTGCGACCCCCTGAGGGGTCCCGACCCCCATTTGAGAACCCCTGCTCTATATCATCTCCTACTCTCCCGACTGTGAATCCCATCGTTGTTGCCCCTGATGGGAACGCCGAGGTACAGAGAGCCAGCCAGTCACGGAGCACCGTTGCGGCAGCGCGGCGAATAGAACCCAGGTGTCCTGGATAGCCTCAGCCTTGGATAGGGGCTGGATTGCCAGTCCCAGCAGCCCACGGGCGCTCTCTGTACGGGCTGGGGAGGAGCAGCAAGGGTAGAAACATAGCAAGCTCCCCATGCACTCACTGTGCCCGCCCCCATGGCTCTGCTCCCCAAATACCCCATGCACTTGGCTCACACTGGCACCCCGCCCCCCCAAGCAGCTCCCTCCCACCCCCTGCCCCTGTCTTCCCTATTGGAGGTCGTGTGAGCGAGGCTGGCTCGGCATGGCCCTGTGGGCACCCATTGGTGCTAATCCACAGCCCAGCAGCAGCCTTTCCACTGAATCCGCGGGCCCCGGATCACGCCGCAGGGTTCAATATTTGGCCCACGATGCCCCAAGCCAGGCCGCGGGGGTAGAGTTCAGGATCTGAACTCACATCTTCCCCTGCCCCAGCCTGCCTCCGACGCACCTGCCTTCATCCCCTTTAGGGTGACCAGACAGCACATGTGAAAAATCGGGACAGTGGGTAGGGGGTAATAGGAGCCTATATAAGAAAAAGACCCAAAAATCGGGACTGTCCCTATAAAATCGGGACATCTGGTCACCCTAATCCCCTTCTCCCCTCGCAGGGGAAAAGCAGCTTCCGAGACTAGAGCCCTGTTCTTTATATGTGCCGCATCGACAGGGAGACGGGAGAAGCACCCCCTCGCCACCCCCCAATT